GCACTCATGCATAAAATACATAAAAAAAAAAAACCAACAAGCACATAGAAAAGAGGCTTACTCAGTGTGGCCACATTGGGCATAGGAAAAAGAAATAGGCCAGTGCCCCCTGAAATAATCTTGGAGAACTGACTTAGTGTCTAAGATAGATTATTTGTTTGTTTGTTTGTTTAGCTTAGTCTCTAAGTGCATGTCTGTGTGTGGGTTTGTGTGCATGCATGCAGCTGGCGCCACAGGCTGCTATGAAGTACCCAACATAGAGGCAAGAGGCGTTTAAATCTAAGCGGTCCAGGTCTCGATGTGGTCTAGCCTGTCCCCACAAGAGGGTCTGCGAAGCTGTCAGAACTGTGTGAAAAATCCCTTTCTGTGGATTTGGTTCCTTCCATGGCTGGCTGCAGGGTTTCAGACTTTCCCTTTTTCTGGATGGAGCGGGTCATCCAAATTAATTGAGGTCTGTTGTTTCAAAGGCCTACCATGGAAGTGAGAAGCACAAGTATCCCTCTCTTAGACTGTCCCCTCTGCCACCAGGAAGGTGAAAGCTCTCAGGGGACAGTCATGCACCTGGGCAGTTTAGCTAGAGCACTACTATGTGGCATTGGTGACTGACTGATTCATCGAGATGGGCTTTCTATGTGGTTCTGGCTGTGCTGAAGCTCGCTCTGTAGGCCAGGCTGGCCTCAGACTCACAGAGATCTCCTGTCTCTGCCTCCCTAGTGCTAGGACTAAAGGCGTGCACCACCACACTGTGTGTGTGTGTGTGTGTGTGAGAGAGAGAGAGAGAGAGAGAGAAAGAGAGAGAGAGAGAGAGAGAGGGACTGAGGGAGGGAGGGAGGGAGGGAGGGAGGGAGGGAAGGCTGAGCATTAATGTTGGACCTCTCACATGCTAACTAACCTACTGCCTTACCACAGCCCCACTTCTTAAAGTATTTCCTTGGGAAATGTGTCTTACATATAGTCTCTGTCCCTTTGATAGGGAAAATTTGTATGTGTGCCTTTGCGAGGGGGGGAGGTGTTTTTGGTTTTTGTTTTATTGTGATAAAGTAAGCAGACTAGGCAGTGTTCCTCTTAGCCACTGCAGTTCATAACATTAAAAACATGCAGTGCCCAGTCAGAAAGTCAGCATTCATGACGTGACCCAAAGGTCAGAAGAGATGGCTCTACAGTTAAGAGCGCTGGCTGTTTTTCTAGAGGACCCAGATTCAATTCCCCTCACCCACCATGCCCGCAAACATCTGTAACTCCAGTTCCAATAGATCTGTTACCTTCTGGCCTTCCAGGGTCCCAGGTACACATGTTGTACACAGGCATACACGCAGACAGGCAAAACGCCCATATATATAAATTTTATTTTTAAAAAAATGTAAACCCCACTTTCCTCATTCCCCTTAGTAACCTTAAGCCTACGTTCTATTTGATGAATTCATCTTTCCTATATGTTTCCTATGAGAGGGCCTTGTGGAATTTGCCCTCCTGTGTCTGATTTTTCTGGGCATGTCACCCTCAGGGTCACCTGGTAGTAGCAGCAGCCACAGAATTCACATTTTACTTGTGGGTTTGAGGCAATCTGTCAATCTTCAAGTTTCTGGCCTACAGTTTCTGGCCAGAATCATTACCCAGATTTTTTTTAAACAGGCATGGGAAACATTTCTTTGTAAATGTAGATATCTAAGGAGACCCATGTTCCTGCCTCCCTGGCACCCAGGGGACGTTAGCTGGGCTCCTTGTTCCCACCTGTAACCACTTGTTCGATAAACATCTGTAATGTGTTATTATTTCTTGATGCACAGGGCAGTTGGCCAGTTTGGTGGGTCCTAGATGACTAGGCCAGTTTAGGAGGAAGGAGGAAAGAATGTGTCTCAAGGAAGGAAGCCGTGCCTTGTACCCGAGGACAAGTTTCGGTGATCCTTGGGAATTGGCAAAGGAAGCCTGTGCGCTGTGGATAGAGCTTCCTGGATACAGAGTGGGGTTGTTCCTGCTGTTTGTACACTTGCCCCTCTGTCATCTCATTACCATGTCCTCTGTGACTGTGGCTCACTCTGTTGAATGCTTGTTCGATAACAAAACTGGTTTCTTCATTTGTAAAAGGCATTTTGACTGCAAGATCATTCCCCCCTTCTCTCCCCAGTGATCAGCTTTGATTATCTTTGGTCATCTGTGGTGTGGCGGCAGGCTGCGGAAGGAAGGGACCCCTGCCACCAGATCATAGATGACCAAAGATAAGCTCCTGACAAGCTCACTTGTCAGCAGCTCCCAGCTGCTGGAAGGACAACTGAAATGGTTTATGCAGGTCTGAGCACCACCACGAGGATCTGCAGCAGCTCAGCATCGGGGCCAACGCTGTGTAGGGCCACAGAGGGAACCAGGCAGAGGCTGAGGCCAGAGACAGAGTGGTCTTTGGAAGCCAGGCTTTGAGGGTCCCCAGCTCTAAGTGCACTGTGACTGGACAGCTGGCTTCTGTCCCAGCAGTGTGAGCCTTACAGTGAGGTCCTCTGTCCTACCTCAAATGCGAGCACCTGCAGCCACAACCACCCTGGGCTGAAAGGCAGGACTGCACACCCGTCCAAATATATTCACTTAGCACCCTAGCTGCCCTAGTAAGTAAGCAGGCACTCTTCCCATTTTACAGATGGGAAAAACTGAGCCTCATAAAGGCTAGGTAACTTTTTCTAGCCCAACAACTGGCTAGACCTGTGCAGTCTGCACTGGTTTCACTTCTGTAGCTGTGATAAAAGGCAACTCAGGGGATAAAGGATTCATTTTAGCTCACGAGGAAGCCATAGCGGTGGGAATCTAAGGCCACCACAGTGGCCAAGAGCAGACAGAGATGAACGCACACATGCTTGCTTGTGCTCAGCTGGATTTCCCCATTCCTGCACAGCTGAGGGTCCCCCTGCCTAGGAATGGTGCCACCCACAGTGGGCTGGGCCTTCTCACGCCAGTTAATTAAGGCAAACCGATCCACTCCATTTCAGATGTGCCGCAGGCCAACCTGGTGTGGACAGTCCTTCACAGAAACGCTCCTCACAGGCCATCCTAGGCTGTGACAAGTTCAACATAAAAGCTAACTCTCACAGTCCGTAGATGACAATCATGAAGGCTCTGCCACGTGTGAAACCTTTGCCGAGGAAGTGGGAATCCGGAAAAGGGTCTTCTGGTCCTGAAGGGGGCTTCAGACCAGAGAGGAGACGCACGCTGAGCAAGTGGTAATCTACAAAAGAAGGGATTGTGGGAGAACGCTGTCAAGGAGAGGAAGGGAACAATCACAGAAGCCAGGCTGGAGGGTCAGCAACTGGAAAAGGGAGTCTTGGCTGAAGGCTCATCCCAAGCGACAAGATGTACCCAGGAGAAGGAGACCAGTGGGAGGAAGGGGATAACAGGCATCTCCGCTCTGCTCGGGCTGGAGGAGGAGAGGATGGCTTCAGCCTCCAACAGGCGATGTTTGTCCCATTGTAACAATGTTAGGGCTTTCAGATTCATTTCTAAGGACAGTAGAGAGGGAGGGATCCTCTGAGACATTCCACCAGGTTTTGACCCAGAACATCTGAGTTGAGGGGGGGAGGTCTTGCCCATGGCCTTTGGACACCATAGTCAGAATCCACATTCTGAGATTCAAGGACTCTGATTTTATGATAGCTGTGTTCGTCCCCATAGACAGGATCTAACAACGCACTGAACTCAGTTTTGTTGGCTTGTTTTTCTTAGAGGAGAGATGGAGATTGCCCAGCAGGTAAAGGTGCTTGATGCTAAGCCAGATGACCTGAGTCCCATTCCTGGGACTCACGTGGTGGAAGGACAGAGCCAACTCCTCCTGCAAGTTGTTCTCTGACCTCTGTACACCACACATGGGCATGTGAAACAAATTCAAGTGGGAATACAGGTGTTCCTAAAAATGTGACATAGATTCAGGGGTTAATAATATTCCCCATATGATCAGAGGGCTAGCAATAGGAGTTCCCAAGATGCAAAGCATATGCTTGGCCCAGCACCCACTTGAGAATGAGTTAGTCCTGGGAAAGGCCAAATTACTTCCAGGAAGCACTTGGCACAGGAGACTAGATAACCATTTTTGACAACTTAATTTGGGGACTAGATTTGTAGCTCAGTAGAGTGCAGGCCTAACCTGCACCAAACACTGAGTTCCACTCACCCACCCCACCCCACCACCACCACCACCTCTGAAATAAATCTTGACGGTGTGTGCCTAAAAATCCAAGCTCTTGGGAAGTGGGGGCAGAGGAACCAGAAGTTCAGAATCATTCTCTGATTCATTGTTGTCGAAGACCAGCCTGGACCTCATGAGACTGTCATAAACTGTAGCCCAACTCTTGATCCTCCTGCCTCAGTCTCTTCAGAGCTGGGGTTACAGAGGAAGCCGAGCGGCTTTAATTTTTATTGAGTTAATTGTGTTTGTACACACATGTCATGAAGTGAAGGTGGAGGGAGGCCAGAGGACGACTTGCAGGTTCAGCGATTGAAACTCTGGCCGGCAGGCTTTCCCGCTCAATCATCTCACCAGCTCCCCGCTCCCAACTTTAATCTCTTCTTCTTTTTGATTTTTTTTTTTTTTTTTTTTTTTTTTTTTTTGAGGCAGGGTTTCTCTGTATAGCCCTGGCTGTCCTGAAACTCTTATCTGTAGACCAGGCTGGCCTGGAACTCATAGAGATCCACCTGCCTCTCAGGGAGTGCTAGGATTAAAGGTGTGTACCACCACGGCCCACAGCAAAATGCTTCACGAATTTGCGGGTCATCCTTAAGCAGTGGCCATGCTAATGTTCTCTGCATCGTTTCAGCTTTCTTTTATTTATTTTTCTTTTTAAATGCGGTTGGGATCATCAGGACCAGGGTAGTAGCTCCATCTCCATCTCTGAAATCAGCCTTAGTCTCCAGCAACTCCGTTCTTTGGGCCGAGTGGGTGGGGCCCGGGCATGGGGGCGTGGCGCCGCTGAGCCCCGCCCCTAGAGGGCGTGGCGAGCCCTGGCGAGCTCCTTATCACGCGCGCGCGCGCGCGCCCGCGCAGCGGCCCCTCAGGTACGCGGACAAGATGGCGGCGGTAGCGGGGGACAGCGCTATGGAGGTGGTGCCGGCGCTGGCCGAGGAGGCCGCGACCGAGGCGGCGGGCCCCAGCTGCCTGGTGCAGCTGCCGGGCGAGGTGCTGGAGTACATCCTGTGCAGCGGCTCCCTCACGGCGCTCGACATCGGCCGCGTGTCCAGCACCTGCCGTCGGCTGCGCGAGGTGTGCCAGAGCAGCGGCCAGGTGTGGAAGGAGCAGTTCCGGGTGAGGTGAGCCGCCCGCTCCGGTCCCCGCAGCGCCTCGGGCCCGGGCCTCGCGGGGGCCCCACCCCGCCACCCGCCCGCCCGCGCGCCGCCCCCTCCAGGCCCCGCTTCCCGCGGCCGCAGACAAAGGCCCGCGCCGGGGCCTCCGGAGCCCCCGATGGGGTCGCCCCAGCCGCGCTCGGCCCGGCCTCCCGCTCAGCGCCGCCGCCGCCGCCGCGGCCTCCCCAGCCCCCCCCCGCCTCCCCCCACCCCGGCTGCGCGACGCGCATCTTTTGTGGCCCGCTCGGTGCAGGATGTTTACGTGCAGGCGGCGTTGCGTGCCTTCCCGGCTGGCTAGGATGCCGGCCGGGATCGGACCTGCCATCCCGTCTCGTGACCTTGTGGGGTGGGGTGGGGTGGGGTGGAGGGGGTGCTGTCCACCTCCCTTCTGGACAGCCTGGGTCTTCCGTTCCGTGATAAGGCACCACCACCCCCCGCATCCCCGCCGCCTTTTGCAGCGTGGGGGAGATCGCATGAGATGCCGCCCCGGATTGCAGGGCCTGATGCTGAGGAGGCGCGCCATCAATGCGAACCGTTAGTTAGCATCATCGCCGTGATTGTGGCCACCACAGATTCGGGGGGGGGGGGGGTTGCTGGGGTTGGAAGCACTGCCTTCTTGTCGCCACGGCAAGGTCACTGCATTGAATAGTGAGGGAGTGCATGAATGCCCGATGGACATTGCAACCCCCTTTTGGCCCCTGCAGACTCCATCGCTGTCAGGGGTCTCGCAGTCTCCACCGCCGGGCTGAGAAGGGTGTTTTCTCCCCTCATAGGTGGCCCTCCCTGATGAAGCACTACAGTCCCACCGACTACGTCAATTGGTTAGAGGAGTATAAAGTTCGGCAGAAAGCTGGGTTAGAAGCCCGGAAGATTGTAGCCTCCTTCTCCAAGCGGTTCTTTTCAGAACATGTAAGCACCTGTTATGTGGCTCAGGCTCTCTCTCTCTCTCTCTCTCTCTCTCTCTCTCTCTCTCTCTCTCTCTCTCTCTCTGTGTGTGTGTGTGTGTGTATAATACTACGTGTGCAAAAATGTGCATGCTTGCCTTAGCTGCTCCGCTCTTCCTGCGATTTCCCTTTTCAGTGCTCACACAATTCCTTGCTTACATGGCTGTAAGAGTCATTGTGTCCTCCTCCCTCCCATCCATCACCACGGAGCCATTTGTCCCTGCCAGCGCTACTTTTCTAAAGCCAGAGAGAGTGGGGTGTTGAGGACGGGGGAGGGATACACAGGGCGGTGTCCACTGGGTCCAGATAAGCGTTATTTTTCTTCAAGATTGTTACACACGCTTTGTGCAAACACCCTCCCCACCCCCCATGATCTGAGAGCCATCAATGATTGGATACTCTAAAGCTCTCACAGTTGTTTTCCCAGGAAGGCTGCTACAGTGATCGTGGCCCTACTCAGTAGTGAGCTGGGTTGTTTGTTAAGGTGTTGTAATTTAAGAAAAGTGGCACACCAGGGAAGGAGAAAGATGCCATGTGACAGGGTTCAAGCAGAGGAGTTTTGGATTTTTTTTTTGTTTGTTTGTTTTGGGGGGAAAGGAAGTGGGGAGATCAGCCCCTGGAGACAGGAGCAGCAGGAAAGAGGAGAGAGGGTGGGAGGTGGGCAGGGCCCTTTAAAAGGGAACATAGTGAATGTGCACAGGTGGTCCTCTCAATGGCTGCAGCTCAGGGCCTGTCCCGTCAGACCCCCAAGAATAGTCCAGTACAGGTGCTAACAACCAGGGTTTAAAGCTGCCTATGGACCAGTTCTATTGCTCTCCCAAAGAAAACTGCCTAGCATCCTTTGCTCCTGGCAGTTTAGGATTTTTGTTATCACTGCAGCTCTTTGTTCTGTGGGAGTAATTTCACCATGTAGCCCAGGCTGGCCTTAAACTCTTGCCCAGACTTCTGAGGGACTGGAATTACAAGTAAGCACCATCAGGCCTGGCTCACGTTGTATGTTGTTTTTCTTCAGAGGCTGAAATGTGTGTTTCTTTGCGGGTTCGGAGTCATTTGTCTTCCCCTTGTCCAGAGTGTCCCATGAAATCAGTGTTCGTTCCTGGTGCTACTTTTTGTAGGGCTACAAAACTGCTCCCTCATATTGTCAGTTTCTCCACAGAGTGGGCATCTACCATCGGAACTGATACTTGTTTTACTGTTCTGGTTTGATGAAGGTTGTTTTCTCAAGATTGCTTCTGACTTTCCTCTCTGCTGTTAACGGAATTTATGAAGAGTTTTTCAGTTTCGAAAGGGCAGATTTGAACTTTTAACACATTAAACTCAGTCCCCCATGGGGACTACAAATAGACACTCTCTACTTTGTTTATATAAAATGCTTATTAATGGCAGAATGAACCAAGGTTTTGTTCAGCCTGGAACAGTGCCCTAGCCAGTCTGTAATCACAGGTGTTCAGTACTGTCTTAAATGTACACACACACACACACACACACACACACACACACACACGCAAGTGTTTTGGTGCAGGGTGTGTATGATGATGTAGTTGGTCACAGGCTACTGGTTCATAGCCTCTCCTTGTAAGCTGGGCTTGGTTTGTGTGTGCTTTTAACAGTCTGCCTTTTAGATATCGTGGATCAGTGAGCTTTTCCCCTTTTTTCCCTGTACCACTGCTTGCTTCATTAAAAGTGTGTGGAGGACTTTGAACACAGCAGGGCCATACTTAGGGTGGATTCATAGGTGGGTGATTGATTATGCTCAGCACTCTGGTGTTCTTATTTTCTCTACATGCAAACAAGTTAACTTGAAACACCGTGGCTGCTATCATGAGGGGGGGGGGGGGCAGGACTTTTACCCTAGAGTCTTAATGCACTACCACCTCAACACACATGTATCTCCACCTCAATAGCCATTGCACTGTTGCATCCATTGCACTGTTACATCTGCGTTTCTGTACCTCCGCTGCAGAACACGTGTACCACTGCCTCAATGTGCAGAGCAGAATACACATCCAGGGAGTCTCGGGAGCACCTCTGCCTTGGGCTAATACCTCTGGCCTCTCCTAGTTGTGTGTAGCAAAGACCTTGGGAGATTGGAGACTTGTTGCCTCAACATGTGTGAGCTCTTCCTGTCAGAGAAGCTCCCAGACTGTGAGAGTGTGGGGTGTGACTACAAGCACCAGGGCCTGAATGTGCTGTGATTTCCTTGTTGCTTTCTGCCCTGAAGGCCCTAGCAGTTAGTGTGTGAGAACTGCTGTCGCTGTCCCTGTGTACAGCTGCTCACTTACTGCTCATCTGTGTGTCTGCCAGTGTCAGCCATGCTAACGCATGATCGAGGCCTCCTGTGTGTGTCTTCCCCATAGGTTCCTTGTAACGGCTTCAGTGACATTGAAAACCTTGAGGGTCCGGAGATCTTCTTTGAGGATGAGCTGGTGTGCATTCTAAACATGGAAGGGAGGTAAGCCATGGCTTGCTCAGATCATCATATAATTGCAGAGGGAATTGCTGTGGTGTATGGGGAAGAATGCTGGTGTTTCCAGATATGTCACATCTTGCCAGGGTTATTGCTTTGAAAAGCTCCGTGTCTGTGAGGTCAGCACACCAGGACAATTGACACACTGTCAGTCCCTGCAGCAGGCCCCTCATCCATGGATTCAGCCAACTTTGGATCAAAACTATCCAGAAAGCCACGTATAGGAGCTCAGATCTATAATTACAGTGCTCAGGAGGCTGAGGCAGGGAGAAACAGAAGCTTCAAGAGCTGCATGGTGAGTTGCAGAACACCCTGGGCTACAAAGTGGGACCCTGTCTCAAAATAATAAAGTCTTAAAGAAAAATTGTGTCAAGGGGCAGGGGAGATGGTCAGTTGGTTCAGCTTGCTCTGCAAACATGAGGACCCAAGTTTGATCTCCGGGGACATGTGCTTGCTATCCTAGTACTGGGCTTACTGGCCCCCAACTTAACCAAGTGGTGGGCACCAGGCTTCAGAGAGAGATGGTCTGAAAAACTAGTGTGTGGATCCAGAGCAATGGTGCCTGAGCTCGACCTCTGGCCTCTGTGCAACTCACACCTGGGCACAATGCACATGCTTGCACATACACAGATCACAGTTTTACTGAGTGTGTGCAGATCCCTTTTCTTGTCGCTCTCTGAACAGTAACTACTTACATTGCACTTACTGATTAGGAGCAATTTAAGGTGTGTGTGTGGTGGGGTGTGAGCCTGGGTCCTGATTAAGAAGAGCCCCTGGGACTAGAGGGACTCATGTCTCAGTAGGGAACTGCTCTACAGGGGCCTGACTTCAGTCCCCATCACCCACAGTGGGTGGCTCCTAGGAGCCTATTAAACCAGTGCCTTGTGATCCGATTCCCTCTTTTGACCTACTTGGACATCTGTATCCACATAGCCACACAGACATGAACTCACACACAAACACATCATTTCAAATAAAAATAAACCCTTGTCTCTCACCATTGTTAGAATGGTATGGCCTATATTTTCTGCTGGAAAGCTTAAGCTTACTTTCCTGTTCACCAGTGACTTGCCTTGCAGCCTAACCTCCTGTGGGAGAGACCTTCTGTTCCAAACGTTATAGAGAAAGATGCACTGAGAGGGGTCACTGCGAAGTGTGCAGACCAGGAGACAGTGTTTCATGGGACTTGTGGGGAGAGGTGAGATGACACTGTGTGGGCCTGGGGTGTCCCCCACCCCGGTCTGTGCATAGATTCATGTGTGCACTGACAGTATTGTGTGGCCTCATAATAGTCTCTAGGCATGGGATGTGTGTAGCGGGGTTTGAGGTGCACTTTATTGGCTTTGGTTTGTTTAGTGTAAACTTTTCTTCTTATTTACACTCTTTTCCTGTCCTTCGCATTCCTGACTTTATGTTGGCCTTTTCTGAAGCCACCCCTGTAGTTTTTCTTTTGTAGTGTTGAGTGCCAAGCCCAGGACCTTAACCAGAGCCACCTGAATGTTTTACCCCTGAGCTCTTAGCACCACCTGTTTGGTTTTTAATATCTACCTACTTTGTATTCTTTCATCCTAACTACATGAGAAAGGGGGAGAGGGATAATTGTTTGTGGAAGATAGACCCTGCTCTGCTTTTGTCAGAATTACCTCAGGGGTCTGTCTCAGCTGTTACAGGGAGAGCTCCCTTAACTAACAGCTACCCTGTCTTGCAGGGTCTGCTGATGAACAGCCACTTGCTCTAGAGGCTTCATTTCTTAGTCATGTGGGTTCTTGGGAATAAATTTCCTAGGTTGTTGCAATGTGTTGAAAATATGTGAAGACTTGTCCAAAGATGTTAGTTCTCCTCCAGGTAGATACAAAGAAGCAACTAAAGTTTGAGGGTGCCAGGTGGTCTTTATTTTGTTCAGTTGTTTCCCCAGCTGTATAATGTTGTCTTAAAGTAAGTACAGAGAAGTAAATCTACAAGAAGAGCCAGGAAAAGGTGTTTAAATTAGTGACTAGTGTAACAGGAAGCTTGTACTGTGAGCTAGTGGGGCAGAGTACAAGGGAACTTGTGATCTGAACAGAATGGACATGGACAGAGGGTGCCAGGAGAGGTCCCCAGTAAGAGAGGGCCAGGCAGGTTGTTGAGTATCAGGAAGTACTGGGTGGAACTGGATGCCTGGCTGGAAACCAGCAAAACTAGCCTTCTACTCAAAACTTATTCCCCAAGAATAAGCAACCCATACTGTAACACTGTGACTCTGTAGTGGTAGACCAGGGTGTGTGTGAGTGTGTGTGTGTGAGAGAGAGAGAGAGAGTGTGTGTGTGTGTGTGTGTGTGTGTGTTTTTCCAGACAGGGTTTCTCTGTGTAGCTTTAGAGGCTGTCCTGGAACTCACTCTGTAGACCAGGCTGGACTTGAACTCACAGATCTGCCTGCCTCTGCTTCCTGGGTTCTGGGATTAGAGGCGTGTGCCACCACATGGCAGAGATTGCCATGCCCAGGGAAAGCAAGTGGACAGGGTGGCTCTTTTAAGGAAATACCTTGGAATTCCCTCTTCAGAGGAGTGTTAAAATCACTGAGAAAGGCTAAGGCTGCCTTTTTATGTTAGTCAGGTCGTCAAGAAAACTGAACTTGTGTAGGCAGTGGAAGTATGTATTAGTAATTGTTTTCAAAGTAAGTGTTGTAACCACATTGCCCTTGATGGGACAAGTATAATGACAGGGAATGTTCTGCCTCTTAAACTATTTGGGGTTGTCAGTTTATATGGTGACCCTGTTGTGGAAAGCAGTAGGAAGCGAGCAATTTCAGTAGATACTCAAGTGTCTATCTCTTGGTATGTGATGACTGTACCTGTGCTGTTCTGTGTGGTCTGCAAAAAGTACAGCCTGCAGGAACGGTTCACCAAAACACATTAAAGAGCCTGTGCTGTGCCTGGGGCTGTGACTTGGGTGGTTAGTGCCCAGCCAGACACTTGAAATAGAGTTACTGGATTTTAGAATCAGAAAGGGCCTTTGGCTTTCCAGGCAGAAGAGATGAAGTCACTTCTATGCAAAAGAAAGACTGTCTCCTCAGATTTCAACAGCAGCACTTTATGCCAGAGGAAAAAGGTATTCCAAGATGTACAGGAAATGCCAGCCAAATATTTTTATATCCAGCTGAACTGACTTCCAAGTATAAAGGCTAAAGACAAACTTGTCAGCTTGGAAAAACTTAGACTTTGGGCTCTTTCTGACACTTCTGCTAGAAATGGAGTTTGAAATCACAGAGATAGTCTGACTTAAGCCTACTGTGGGCACTGAATGCACATTAACTGGACCCCCTGGCTCCAAATGAGAGCTGTCCTGGAGACATTACTGTGTGTGTAATTAGGGCAGGCTCCCTGACTAGATCCCATGTAGCTGGAAGAACACTGAGCAGTGGTCTGGCAAGATCATTCAGCAGATAAAGGTGCTTGTTGCCAAGCCTGAAGACCTGAGTTCAATCCTGTGAGCTGTCCTTTGACTTCCACATATTCTCCATAGTGTGTGTGCATATGCACTTGGGCAGATACACACACTTGCCCACACAAGATGATGTGCAGATTACCCAGCTTCTTTATATTCAGGGGCAGGCCTGTGTGTAGGATGGAGATGTGCAGTAATGCCAGTCATGTCAACTCTGATATCATGGAAGGGCAGAACTATTCAGGAATAAGGGTACACACAGAAGGCAGAAGGAGGTCAAAGCTGTATATATCTCCATTTGAATTGGAGGTATCAGTGTGAACTCATGACCAGCCTAGTAGAAATTGCTGTCTCAGCTTGCAGATTTTCATCTTCAGCCACCGCTTCTCCCAATGCAAGGAGAAATGGCTGCTTCTCAGGCTTGTGTCACAAATGTACAAGGTGAGTCCAGAGCCTGTAGGCTCCTGGAGCCAGACAGCATGAGTACTGTCAGTCCCTCCCTTCAGTGTGGGGCTGTGTGAGGCATTGTGGGACAACGGTGTGCCAGCTGGGGCAGCAGCGTGGTAGACATAGAGCATATTGGACTGACTGCTCCAGACAGTTGAGCTCCATGAGTTCCAGTACTATTTCAAGACAGGACTTGATCATTGAAGGAGAAGCAGAAATGAGTAAAAGGGATGGAGAGCATTTGTCCTGTCTTTGCTACATTTCATTCCATTGGGTTTTATGTAAATGAGGCAGGGCTGGTTCAGTTAGAGGCACCTCTGAGGGATGAACAGATCTGGGCACTGAGCAGCAGCTGCTGCTGTTATTACAGAAGGGACAACCAAGCCTTGTCACCAGCTCCGTCCCACTTTTTTTAAACATTTTCTTGAGACAAAGTCTCACTCTGAGGTCTAGGCTTGCCTTGCTTGCAGCTTTCTGAGAGGGGCATAGGCATTGTTGTGCTGGCAGTGGAAGGCTATCAAAGCCAGCATCCATCACTGATCTCCACCCACAGGGGGCTTTTGATGGAAGACTACACCACCTTCTACAGTGGCAGCTTGCCACATAACTGGCATTTGAATTTTGTGGAGCCTCTCCAGCCACTTAGTTGTGAATTTATTTTGTGTTCTTGTTTGGTGTTCATCTGTGTATATGTGGGCAAGCTCATGCCGCTGTGCATGAGTGGTTAGAGGACAGCTTGTAGGAATTGGCTCTTCCTTTCTACCAGTGTGGATGCTAAGGATCAGATTCAGGCTTGGTGCCGTTCTTGCTAGCCTCTCTGTCTACTTGCTAATAAAAAATTCAGAGCAAGTTAAAGCTCACATGAATTTATTCCAAACTCGGTTAAACAGTGGGGAGACAGAGGAGGGGCCCCTGTAGAAGACAAGGCCTAAAAGATCCCCAGCAGTTTAGGGATGTGTGTTGGTGGCCCCTCTAGAGAGGGGCAGGAAATGGCCACTGAGGCATGAACTGTGACTGTGGCAGCACCTCAGAGCTGTGCTTTGTGGCCTGAGTGGTGAATGCATCATTGCCCTACACCTCTGTTTGTTAGGGGTGACTTTCTACAACAGAGGTTAAAAAGCAGGTGGAACAGACAGCTCTGCTGTCACTGATGTCTGTGGATGGAGGGAACTGCACTGCTTCTTAGCGGTCACCATACACGTTAGCCCCATCTTCCACTTGCAGACCTGGGTGTCAGAGAGCCCTGAGGAAGTGCTTCACGCAGAGTCTTCTGCACACCCTCAGTGCACCAGACATTACTGGAGTACAGCTGTGAGCAGCCCCAAATCTCTGCCTTCATGAGTTCACGGGGTATCGATAGAAACACATGCGCTGCTCACCTTGTTAGGAAGTGGTATGTGCTCGGGGAGATGCTGAGTGCACTAGAGTGTGAGGGGTCGTGGGCTCCTGTTGAGGTAGGATAGGGAGAGGCCTGACTTGGGCCACCTGAACAGAACTTAGAGGAGGTATGAGAACAGACAGCAGGCATCCAGGCAGGGAAGGGACATTTCACTGAGGGAGTTGCTGGGTGACACAGCTAGGGACTGGGTTAAAGGAACAGTGGGGGCGGTAGAATCTGAGATTTCAGAGGCTGCCAGGGTGGGGCGAAGGCATGTGTTGGGTCTTCACTAGAAGATGGGCTTTTAGTGTGAGGAAGTAGAAACTGAAGAATTTTTGGAGTAAAGGTCATGGTATTGTTGTGAGTTTATCACTGGAACAATGGACTGCTGTGTCAAGAGGTGACAGGGGAGAGCATGGAAGCAGGAGCCCAGGAGGACTGTACTAAATACCCAGACGGTACTAAATACCCAGATGGAAGCAGGAGCCCAGGAGGATGGTACTAAATACCCAAAAAGCTGCCAGCTTTGTCAAGTCAGCGGCAGATGCTCCTGTTAGGGTGGGGAGAAAAGGGAGTCAGGCACTCAGGATGGCCCAGAGGCCTGGAAAAGTGGTCAGTAGGGATGCACCTGAAACCAGGAGGCTAGAAGGACTCTTGAGCAGCCTTGCCCTGATTGTTGGAAGCAGGCCCTGGGGACCAGCACAGTGCACCTCACCTCCCAGGATGCCGTTCATAGCCCTTCTCCAGACACAGAAGATGCAAATGTTTGAGTGCCATTGGACCGTCAAGTCAGGTGCAGAGCCCTCTGCCAACAGTGGTGCAGATGTGTATCAGCTGTGTTTGTCCTGGTAAAGTGGAGTATGTGATGTGATTGGAGGTGGGGGGAAGCTGGGCACTAATGTTCTTAGTGGTTCATTTGATTGCTTTCCAGGAAAGCTTTGACCTGGAAATACTACGCAAAGAAAATTCTTTACTATCTGCGGCAACAGAAAATCCTAAACAACCTCAAGGCTTTCCTGCAGCAGCCTGATGATTATGAGTCCTATCTTGAAGGTGGGTATTTCTGTGCCTGCGGACAGGGGTTTTCCCCAACTGAGCAGCCTGTGACAGCTGTCCCTCCAAGGTAGAGGGAAAAGAGAGCTATGCCAGTGGGCTTCAAGAAGTTGGATTACAAAGCAGACAACACTCAAACTTCCAGCAGAGATTCCAGTGGCATCTTCAGTGTTAGCACAAGTGATCTTAAGAGTCATCACTGGCTTAGTGATAGTTGAGTGTTGGACACTCAGGCAGGAAAGTACTTGCCACACAGGTGTGAGGAATTGATTTCTATCCCAGAACCGGAGTAGAAAGCCAGGCTTGTTGGTGTATGCTCTTAACCTCAGCACCAGGCAGGTGGAGACAGGGGACTTGCAGTTCTCTGGTCAGTGAGCTTAGCAAAAAAACGAGATGGACAGCTCCCAAGGACAATGCTGAGGTTGACCTCTGACCTCACACATAAGCACTTGTGGGCCTGCAGAGTGAGTGACCTTTGGCTAGTGAAACCAGTTCGTTGCCACTCAAAACTCTTACTTCATATGTCTGCTTGACCCTATTTATCGGTGTCCTCTGAAGCACCTGGGGATCAGTGAGGCTAGGCAGCTCCTCGGGGCGGTGTGGCCCAAGTGTAGGGGAGTGAGATGACCGGGCTCTGTGATAGGAGGTACTGGGTTCTTAGGGGAGCAGTACGAAAATGTGACTTGGCTTTTTAAACGCTGTATTCTTAGATAGAAACCCCCTGTGCTCTGCTTGTGAGGTGTGTGCTTATGTATCCCTCCCTGCTCCTGGAGGTCACATCTGTCCATCCCTGGTCTCTAGGCCGTCGGCAACCTCTCTGAGGAGTCCTGGCTTTCCCGGACATCACTGCCTGCTGTCCTCCAGTCTGCCAGTGTGTCTGACCCACTTAATCCCCATCGCTGTAGGACCTGCCTCATGTTTTCTGAATGGTTGCTTGCTCCCCAGGGCCCCCTGTGGTCTGGACCTCCCCTAGCACCACACCTTTCTGAATTGCTCTGCAGAGCTCTGCTCCTGCATCCAGGCCTTTGCCTAGAGATGGTCTTTACTTCCTCATGGTGGCAGCCCTCTTCCTGTGGTCCCTCTGCCCTTCTTCAGCTCAGGGCTCACTTGTGTGAGTTTCAGCTGACGCCCGCAGAGCTCACTGGTGTCTGCAGCTGCCATGGCTGTCACAGTGGCTGCTCCACGTCCCTTCTGTGTCAGGTGTGTTCATTGCATTTCTTTGCTTTTTTTTTTTTCTTTCTAAGATGCAGAGTGTGGCCTAGCTGTAGGCTTGTCTTCTGAGTGCTAGGTATGCCCAGCCCTTGTAAGTAGGGTTGTTATGTTCCAGGCCTTGAAGAAGATTGCCACAGCCCACAGTGCCTACTGGAGATACGTGCTAATGGTTGAAGGTCTGATGTTGTCTGAAAGGGTATAGAAAGTCTTGTAGTCCAATGAAAAAGAATGTCATAGGCATCCTCTTGCCTCTTTACATTTAGGAGAGCTGGGAGCTCAGCTCTTTCGAGTTGCTGGTTGTTGTTTTCTTTTGTTTGAGGCAGAGTGTTGACCATTCTGACCAGGAACTCACAGAGATCCTCTTGTCTCTGCCTCCTGGGTGCTGGGATTAAAGGTGTGTGCCATCATACCAGATTTCATTTAGCAGTTTGGAACAGTGAAACAGTCTCCTGTATGTTATATATGAAAAACAAATATGTTTCACAGTTTTCAAGTACAAAGTTTCAGTTTTCACCGTCCATCCAGGTCACTATGTAGACATAGAAACCATTGGCAGTAGCTGGGGGAGGGGGGGGAGGGGAAAAGGGGAGCGGGCTCCAGAGCCTCAACCCTGACTAGACTCCTGAAGCAGCTCAGAAGCCTGAGAAAGTGGCTTACAGCACAAGCCCTGTAGTCTAGGCTGGCACCCTGATGCTCTGAACTACCTTCAGGTTCTTGGAGTATTGGTAGGAGCCGCAAGGTTCTGGGCTAGCCTCAGGTCTCTTGAATTTAAAAGGTAACTGGGAGGCTTTCAGGTAAAAATGTACTTCAACCAAATGCTGGCTTAGGCGTGGTGTGAAGTTGGCTGAGGCCAGCGATGAAACCGTGGCCCTGCTCTGTGGGATTTTGGGGCTCCTTCTTTTATGAGGGCGTGTTCTCCCTAGAGTCCATGATTCTTCACCCATGAGAGCTATGACTGCCTGGAATGGTCTGTCTGACTTCCCTGTTCTCTCAGCTTAGTTGTTAAGAGGAATTGCCTTCTAGGAAGTCTTCCCAGTGGTTGGGTTTTGGACTGGGGAGAAGTGGCCTGAGGGCTTGCTTGCGGGCATTAGGTACTCTTCATTGTATGTGTCTTCATTCAGTGTATGTGTCCTGCTTTCTGAACCAAAAAATGGTTTGCTTTGCTTTCTTAAATGGAGAAGAAGTGCCTTGCTGTGTTAGTGCTTTGCCGGCACCCAGGATGGGAGCTGGCATGGTGTGAGGTGTGAGAAGCCACAGCCCCAGGTGCTGGCTCGGTAGCACCCACTGCAGTCAGGGAGGAAGAAAGCAGCACTGACTGTGTGTGTTCCCCACAGGTGCCGTGTACATTGACCAGTACTGCAACCCTCTCTCCGACATCAGCCTCAGGGACATCCAGGCCCAGATCCACAGCATCGTGGAGCTTGTGTGCAAAACTCTGCGTGGTATTAACAGCCGCCATCCCAGCCTGACCTTCAGGGCAGGTGTGCAAATGCTGTACATGAGACAGGCCCCAGAGCCCCTGGGGGTAGTTGCCTGAGTGATGTAAATCACTAACACCACCCTGTCTCTGTTCCCAGCCTGGCAGCACTCGACTGTCATGCATGCCCTTGCCAGTCACTGTGTGTTCAGGGTGTGCCTTGCTTGTGTTTGGGGTATGAGTGTTTGGGGTATGCTTGCTCATGCTTGAGACCCAGAGGAGTTCTCTGTGCTGCAGGTGAGTCCTCCATGATAATGGAGATAGAACTGCAGAGCCAAGTGCTGGACGCCATCAACTATGTCCTCTACGACCAGCTGAAGTTCAAAGGGAACCGCATGGACTACTACAATGCCTTGAACCTCTACATGCACCAGGTACGTGCGGTTGCATAAGAGGAAGCTTGACGTTCCCTCCCACGTCCGTGGGTTCTGCAGCATCCTCTGTAGGCACCATCCGTTGCCTAAACCTGCAAGTGTGCACACACGGGATTCGAACACTGTTGGGGATTGTGTGACTTGAAGCTGGGAAGGGTGGATGTGTAGGTTCTATGCCCGTACCTACTGCATTTGCAGACTTTGCTGTTCCAGGGTGCTCCGCACCTGACTCCCCTGTGGATAGATAAGGCTGATCATGTGTATACAGGCATGTGTCCTTTGGGCTCACCTCTAATGAGCTATCCATTTCTTGCTATTTTCTTTCTCATATGTCAGTGAAGCCCATTTTCCTCTACCATGGGATAGCATGGTGGGTTAGATCTGCTACAGGGTGATATGTATGTATGTATGTATGTATGTATGTATCATCCTATTATAGATGGTTGTGAGCCACCATGTGTTTGCTGGGAATTGAACTCAGGACCTCTGGAAGAGAAGCCAGTGCTCTTAACCGCTCAGCCATCTCTCCAGCCCCCGGGGTAGCTTTTGTAAGCAAGCCCTGTGAATAGGAGTGGGCATGTCTGTGGCTCAGTTGGCTCAGTCTGTGATTATGAGTATTGAACTGCACAAGCCTGCCTCTGTCAGCCTGGAAACCTGTGGCCCAGCCCAGATACAGCAGCCACACATCTTTGATGTCCATTTCCTTGTCTGTCCTGTTCTCTGTAGCATGGTTTCTGTTGTCATATCACAGACCTTTTTATATTCTTGCTTCCTGGTAGGAGGCCAGCAGGCTGTCTGCAAAAAACCTGGCATTCAGTCACTCCAGGTTTGCAGGCTGTGTGGTCCTCGTGCACAGTGCCATCTTGCTGGGTGAAAGGGCACTGGCAGTTGGAGTCTTGGGTGACTGTGTATAATATGTGCCAACAGAGCTGTGTGGACATGGGACATTCCTTGCTGATTATGAGATAGGTTCAGTAGCCCGGGCTGGTCTTGGACTTTGTGTCCTCCTGCCTCAGTCCCCCGAGTGCTGGGAGTATAGACATGGCACATAGGACCTGCCTTCTGTTATTTTCATGTCACAATGGTTTTGTTTTTAGAATATTTTAAAAATTTGAAAATTCAGGTATGTGCAATAGCTAAATGGTGGAGAACTTGGCCTGTGTGCACAAGACTCCAGCTTCCATGCCTAGCCCTGCAGAAACAAAAGCTGAAAGCAGGAAATTGGGGTGGGGGTAGTACACATTGGCAAGCCCAGCACTTGGGAGGCTAAGGGATCAAGGTGGACAGTTTGAGGCCAGCCTGACTTTGTAAGACAAACATCTTCTGCTGGCTGTGAGAAAGCAGCCAGTGAACTGGATTTGGTACCTGATCTAAATGTAGCTCTGGAAACCAGCGTGGGATGGAGCCAGCCGCTGGCCCTCCTGAGGCTCTGCGACTTTCCTCCCTCAGGTGTTGACCCGCAGAACAGGGATCCCCATCAGCATGTCTCTGCTATACCTGACCATCGCCCGGCAGCTGGGGGTCCCACTGGAGCCTGTCAACTTCCCAAGCCACTTCCTCCTGAGGTGGTGCCAAGGCGCAGAAGGGTGAGCCATCTTTGCCATGTTTAAGGGTGCTGAGGAACCGGGTTCTAGTGTAAAATTAGATATTACCCAGCAGGCATCTATTTCTGAGGGGTCATGTTGAGGATCTGGTCCTGATGTTGCTCTGTATTTGCACTGGTCCTTGTGTGGGGGGTGACAAGCACTACTCTGGATATTTCTGTATTTCTTCCACAGGTATGTGAATCTGCAGTATCTCAAAAGCCTAACTTAAAACTTTAAAAAAGGTCTTGTAGCTATCAAGGTTCCATAGTGTGAAGATGGATCCCATGAGAGGGTTCTTGTCTTTCTCCTCTGCCATAGAACAGGCTCCTTGTCCCACACTGTGCCCCAGCTTAGGAGAGGGGGACCAGGGTGGGCAGCTTGCAGCCTGGCTCTGCTGTGTTTGTTCTGGGATTGGCCTGTCTTGGGTGGAGTCCTCTGCTTTTCCTAAGGAGAGTCTTCACCCCAGGAGAACAGCACTTTTCCACGTCAGGGAGAAAACTCATCCTGATGTCATGTACTGGGCAGTGGGATGAGCAGCCCCTGAACTTTAAAACCAGACAGGGCTGCTGTGCAGCCAAGTAGGGCTGGTGTTCTCTGTAAGCACTGGCTTCAGGAGTTCAAGGACAGCCTCCAGTGCACATGTGCAACACACAGGCACACACGTGCGCTCTTTTACCCTCTTATTCTCCCCTGCTCTGTAGAAAAGCAGTGCAGCTGGACTCCACCTACCCCTCCAGTTTCATGATTTATGAAGCCCCATTCTCACCATCACTATGAGTTTCTTTAAATTGCTTTAGAATGTCATTGTTTTCCAAATGGGATGTGCTCACAGTGTACTGGTAGTTAATGGTTGCAATCTGGATATCTACTTCCTAATATTTCTAGTAAGAACATTTATTTGCAGCCCTGGTAAGCTTACATACCTCCTTGTGCATCTATAAGATACCTGTGTGACATCCACTAAGGGTCCAGCGTGTTCTGAGCATTTCTGGCCCATTGCATGTCTGTTGTAAGGTGCCTTTTGCATGTTAGTAACTTATTACAGGACAGTCTTCAGTACTGTAACAGTGTCTTTCCGTATAATACAAGCGAATATTTTATTTATTTATTTTTTTTATTGTGTTGATTCTTTAAGACAGTGACTCCCTGTGATACCCAGGATGTCCTAGAACTTGGAATCCTCCTGCTTCAGCCTCTTGTCCTGAGTGCTAATATTATGGAGCTGAGCCATCACTCCAGGCTCAGACAGTGCAATAATTCGTTAGTATTGGAAGTCCTGTCTGATTGGGAAGCCGAGGCAGGAGGATCACTTTACTCCAGGATCCAGGCAGATGACAGAAACAAACACAGGGAACTGTAAACGCCTGAGCCATCAGAGGTGATGCTGCCATACACACAGAACCTTTCTAGCTGCTGGGCCCCACCCTTCCTGCCCATGCTATACTCTGAGCCCTCATACCTGGAAATGCAAGACCCACCCCCACTGCATCCAGATCTTAAAGTACTTTGGCTGTTCCTAGCTTTTGATCTTGCAACTAGATTGAGAGTCAATTTATCAATCTCCTTAGGAGGCCTGTGTGGAGAGCACTGGGAGGCTGAGGCAGGAGTTTGTGGCCCCTTATATCAAATAAGAAAAAACAAATTCTGCTTGGATATTGATTGAAGCTAGAAACTGCTTCTGGCTGATTCTAGCTGGTTCTGGCTCCTGCTGTCTGTTACTGTAGTTCTGGGAGTCCATGAGGAGATTGTTTACCCTTTCCACACTGCTCTGTTAGGGTTATCCTGAGCTACCAGGGTTTGTCTGTAGCTGTAGCTGGCCCTTGTGTGCAGGCCTGACCTTCAGGACCAAGCTGGATGAGTCTTCTGTGCCGATGGTTTGTGGCTCTGGCTTTTAGTGATACGTCACACTGTCTGAACAGCACTGTTTTGTTTATTCTAGCTTAGTATGTTGGCTTTGTATGTTGTTTACTACAAAGCAGAAACAGGATGGATTTTGAGGGGTTTTGTTGTTTAACTGTGTGTGCATACACAAGTGTGTGTACAGAAATCAGAGGACAACTTGTTGGGGGGGGTCAGTTTTTTTCTCTTCTACTATTTGGGTATCAGGGGTTGAATTCAGGGCTTTGGACTTGGCAGCAAGTATCTTTATCACTGAGACATCTTTCCAGCCCAGAGATCTCCTTCCACACGGAATGCTTCTCAGTTTCAGCATTAGCTTGCTGTTTGGTTTGATGTCATCAAAACTACCTTCTGAATTTCTAATTTTGTGAAGTTTTTGTTTGTGGTGTCTGTTTTGTATATTGAGACAGAGCCTCAGTCTGTACCACTGGCTCACCTGGAATTTGCAAAATAGATCGAATCACAGAGGTCTACATTCCTCTGCCTCTGCCCTGGGGTTGAAGTCATACACTACTGTGCTTGACTAATTTTGCTAAGTTGTAGTTATATATAGACATTAGGTTTTTTTTTTTGAGGGATGTGTTTTTTATTATCTGTACATGGTTTTTCACTTTTAGTTTTTATGTATAGGAATAGCTGTTTGGGTTTTTGTTTGGGGGGCTTGATGGTATGTGTGCTACAGATTGAACATGCTTTATCTCTGAAGTTCACTTATCCCCAGATTGGTCTTCCCTGTTCAGCTTGGGGCACAACTAGTCCAGGTATTTTTTTTTTTTTTTTTAAAAAGCCCTGGCACTTGGCCATGTTCACTTTTTGTCTATGTGTTTTACATCGTGATGACCTTGGCTCGTCACTTCTGTGTGCTTGCCCATAGGAAGTTGTGGCCTTATAGCAAATGCCGATGTGTTCTGTGCTCTTTTAGAACATTTATGTAAGTCTCAAGTCTTTGCCAAAAGTGGGCTCTGAGCGCAACTCAGGGAAGAAATCCGACTGAGATAGTTAGCAGCCAAAGAGAAAATGTGTGACTGCAGTGGGCACAGGATCAGGGTTGCTCAAAAGAAGGAGCACTGTCCCCACCACTCAGCACCCACTGCTCCGTGAGCCCTCAAGAACACACTTGGCAGTACTGTGAGAAAGTGAGCAGATCCAGGGTCATTGCTCCTTCAGGTGCCAGCCTGAGGTTGCACAGAGGAGGACCAAGCCCTGGGCTGGGTTCCGTAAGTTTCCTTGGGTCCTCAGAGGCCCCCAGATCCCCAGGTAGGCAGCTGTTTGCCACTCTTATTAGCGTCCATCTTGGTCATGCCCCATGTCTTTCTGTCGGTGTTCTTTGGAGTCCTGCCTCTGGGCTGTAGGACTCTGACAGCTGTCAGGTGGCATGCTTCTCTGCTGCCACTTGTTTGTTTATTCTTATGTATGTATGTACCGCCTATGTATAGAGTCAAGAACAGCTTGTTAGAGTCAGTTCTCCTTCCACCGTACGAGTCCCAGGGATAAACTCAGACAGTCAGGCTTGACAGCAAGCACTTTGATCCACTGAGCCATCCCCTTACCCTTGTGCTTCTAAAGAGCGGGACAGTGTGGTCACCACAGCCAAGGCCCCATTAAGAATCTGGTTTAAAACTTGCCAAGGCCTTGATAGTACTGGTGAAAACAGCAAAGTGGTGCTTTGACCTCAGCCTCTGCCTTGGGCTCCTCCTTCACGGGCTGTAATTCTGACTTATCGGCTCCTCTTGGGCAGGGCAACCCTGGACATCTTCGACTATATCTACATAGATGCTTTTGGGAAGGGCAAGCAGCTGACGGTGAAGGAGTGTGAGTACTTGATTGGTCAGCATGTGACCGCAGCGCTGTACGGCGTGGTGAATGTGAAGAAGGTGCTGCAGCGGATGGTGGGCAACCTGTTGAGCCTGGGCAAGAGGTGAGGGCCCTGGCTTCCCCTGCTCCTACTTGCTTGCAAAAGCAAGAAGCTGGTTCAGTGAGCTGCCCTGTGATACCTGCTTCTGGGACATCAACCATGCATTTGTTGGTGCCGAGGAGCCAGCCTCTGGTGTTTGCAGTGGACTTAGCTCTGCTTAAACACTGGAAGTCACAGTGTCTTAGTGTTCTCCTGACCTGGTGCCTCTTTTCTTCATAGTTCAAGGAAGCCTGTCCTATGAAGTGTCTGTAGTTTCCTGATGTGTGTGTGTTGCAATCAGTTTCCTGATGCCTAATAGGATTCACCTAGCAGAATTTGTTTTTAATAGATTGGTTTTTTTAGAGCGATTGTTAGTTGGTGGCAAAAGTAAGCAGACTGCAGAGGGGACACCTGTTCCCATGTGTAGGCAGCTTGCCCACTCCCCAACCCCAACCCCAGCACCAGAGCACCTGAATTGCCAAGTATAACTAGGGTTTACTCCTATTGGTATAAGCCCTGTGAGTTTGGACAGTGTAATCCCAGGGTAGCTCTGCTCCCCTCACAGCCTCTGCTCTGCTTTTCAGAGTTCTGTGTGTGTTGCTGAGGTGACTGCTTAATGAACGGCAGGTTTTAACATGATGCCGGACTCAATGTTCAGTGTGGATTCTGCTAAGAGCTTCGCAGTGATAGTGGGGAGTCTGGAAGTCAGGAAGCCTTGGGAGTCGGTATCAGCTGCTTTTAGACGTCCACTGGGAATCCCGCTCTGATGCTGATCTCTTCTCCCCCAGGGAAGGCATTGACCAGTCCTACCAGCTGCTCAGAGACTCCTTGGACCTATACCTGGCAATGTACCCAGATCAGGTGCAGCTCCTGCTCCTCCAGGCCAGACTCTACTTCCATCTCGGCATCTGGCCAGAGAAGGTAATTATCTTACTTTGATGTTCGGCCCTTGCTTTAGAGAGAACAGCTGTAGCTGGGCCAAGGCTGTTGAAGGTCACCCTCCTGTTACGGGGACTGAGTTTGGATTTGCTCCATCTCCAGCCATGACCCACTAATGAATTCCTCTTCTTTTGAGAAGCATGGCTTCTGTCACCAGGAATGACCCCTGACACTGGACACAAAGCCCCCAGTGGTGCCTTTCCAGAGTCACCTGACTTCAAGGAGAGGCTACACAGTGCTTGGTGCTGGCTTTGCTGCAGCTGTTGGACATGGGAAGACCCGGCTGAGGCTTCTTCCTGTCTGGTTCTAGGTTTGCTCATGCTGTAATCCCCACCTCTGGCAGTGCTATGGGTGCTTTGGAGCAGAGCTGACTTTAGGCACACTGTGTGCACTTCTGTGTGAATCTGGGTGTGCAGGAGTCGTAGCCTATTCATTCTGCCCTTGGTTTGGAAAGAGGCCACCAGTCCACTTTGTTTGTTTAGAATGCCTGCAGAGGGCGTTTGGTTCTGAGCCGCAGTTGGGCTGTTTCCCAGAGTTTAGAGATGGGCATAGTCTTTCTACAGAAAGTAAATGCTCTGGTGGCTGGGGAGATGGCTCGGCTGTTAAGAGTACTTGCTGCTCGTGTAGAAGACTTGAGGTTCAGTCCCCTGGTGTGCACATGGTGGCTCTCAACTACCTGCAACTCGAGCTCCAGGAGATCCAGTACCCTCTTCTGTCCTCATGCACTCCCCACCCCATAAAGCACATCCATAAATTAAAAATAAAATCTTTTAAAAACATATTTCAATTTATTTTATGTGTATTGGCGTGAAGGTGTCAGATCCCTTGGAAATGGAGTTACAGACAATTGTGAGCTGCCATGTGGGTGCTGGGAATTGAACCCTGGTCCTCTGGAAGAGCAGCCAGTGCTCTTAACTGCCAAGCCATCTCTCCAGGCCCTAATAATAAAATCTTTTACATTCATTTTTTAAAAGAACGTAAATGCTGTCATTAAGTGACTATACTGGGTCACCAGTTCATGGCTTTAAAGATACATAGTGGACACAGACATGGACAGTCATGATTCCTTAGGAAAAGATATCTTCCATGGCTAGATAGACACATGTTCTGGAAGAGTGTGCCCTGAGAACTGTGGCCCACTCAGCAGCCCAGAGGTTAGTCCTTTGAATTTGTTCAGCCAGTTCTGATTGTTGAGAGATTTCAGGACCGTTCAGGAAGGAGAGAGCAAAGGTCCCTTTGTGAGCTGACCTAGTCACAGGAATGGAATGGGCCTGTTGCTGGGCCTTTGTGATGGAATTGTCAATACAGCCTTCATAGTGTGGGGCTGACTCCCATAGTCTCACTGGGCACTCACTGCTCGCTGGGAGCAGTGTCCTCAAACCAGTTTCCTCTTGCTTGTGCACGTGCTGCCTGGTGGCACATCTGGACCCCATCCTTTTGTTCTGAGCTGGGACGCCACCCTTAGGGAACCAGTACCCCAAGACCATGCCATAAGTCATTAGACATGGCTGCTCTCCGGTGAAGGGGCTCATAGGGTGGAGCTCCTGAGGAAGGCAGCCTGCCAGGGGCCTGGGCGAGTGGTGTGTGTGAGCTGAGGAAGGGGAGAGGACAAGTCTGTCCCTGAGCAGGAACCTAAGGCCGTCTCACTTTCCCTTTCTGTTTCGTGAAGTCGGAAGAGCTGGGAGCCCAGTGCCCTTGGGAAAGTAAAGCCAGGTGGTCACGTTTGTAAAAGTCGCTGCTTCTGCTGACAGCCTCCCTCTGCCCCTCAGCTGTCCTGTGTCACTATTGTGTTCTTGCCAGTTTCCAATTGCCAAAGTCAAAAAGGTACCACTGCAGTTTATTGAGCCCACCACAGGTGTCACCCCGAGGGTCACCGTGACTAAGGGACAGCCAGCTGTACTTAGTGTTGCCAGGGCCACAGTGGCCTGTGACCTGTCCTTTGTCTATAATGCAGGACACACCCCTCCTCCTTCCCTGGAATGACAGCCCAAGTCGTCCTTATCAACCCTGTTGAGCTTGCCTGTGGCCACCACCACCTGATCTGCTCCCTGCATGCTGACATCACACTTGTCCACTGTGTGCTGACCGCCCTTCACCTTCCTTTGCTCCTGTCCCTCCCCCAGACCTGAGCTCTGGGTCCCAGCCCTCCCCCAGGCCCTGTCCCTCCCCCAGACCTGAGCTCTGGGTCCCAGCCCTCCCCCAGGCCCTGTTCTGGCCAGAGTCCCTTCTGTTGCTATTACAAGACCAGGAAGTGGCCTTGCTCTTTCTCCCGATTCTTTGATGCTCTGCCTGCCTCATGGCCACTGGTTCCCTGGCTCCTTTTGGTGTCTTGTCTTGGGTCTCCCTGCAGGCTTCCCAGGTGGATGCTCTCTAGGCTTCCCCTGCCCTGTGTACTGTCCCAGGGTCTTCCTTCAATGCCTCACTTATATGGCCCCATGACATCCCTGCTTGGCCTCTGTCATATATGTGGCAGTCAGGGTCTTAACAGGATAGACTGAGCTCTGAATGGCTCCCTGCTGCCTTGGGGTGCTTTTCTTAACCTTGCAGTTTGGCTCCCAAGTCTCCATGGTCCTGTCTCACCTGCCTGACCTTTCATGCCGCACATCTGTGTGTCACAGTGTCGTGTCGTCTTCCCCACCATGCTCTAAAGCACCCCTGCTGTGTCCGCCATGCTCATACTGCATTGCCCTCTGCTGACCCCTCAGCTCCATTGCCACCCCAACCTCCTTTCACTCTGGACCAAGTTCTCCTAGGACAGGGTATACACAGTGTGCTCCCCAATACCCATCCTCTGTGCTCACAGCATTGGTCTTGGCATGTAGGAGGTGCCCAGAGTTCCTGTTCAGGAATGGTTGGGTGAGTATAGTTCACTTAGACATAAGTGAAGGAGACTCCCAGAGCCTACAGACTTTCCAACATGGGAGCAGCATTCCATTTCAGAAGTGGTTGTTTAAGGCATAGGCTATTTGGGCTGGAAGAAAGTGCCATGGCAGGCTGTGTAGAACTGGCCTGGGACCACCCATGGCAAGCAGCATTTTGTGGCCTTTGTCAGGGGCTCCTGCCCCGCCCACCTATAGCCAGCAGATAGTCTTAACAGACAGATAAGCAAGGGGAACCAAGAGCTCAGAGTGAGACTTAGTGGACAAACACTGCACACAGGGCAGTGGACCCTGCAGGCTTGGGGCTGGCTGTGGGTGGACCTGCAGGCTTGAGGTTGTATTCTGTAGGAACCAGGACACAGCCTCTGTGCTTCTGTGTGGTCAGCGGAGGAGCAGTGGAAGGCGGTACCCTGAACAAGAAGGCTCCTTGCTTTCCCTGAGCCTCTGGGGTTTTGTTTGTTTTGTTTTTTATTTGGGTGGATTGTGGCTTGTTTTTGTGCTTGAGGCAGTGTTATAGTATGTAGCCTTTACTGGCCTTGAACTTGGGATCCTGCTTCCCAGTGCTGGAATTATAGATAGGAGTCATTACATAAGATCTATAGCTTTGCATGGGAGCATAGTGGCCACGGTCAGCACTGTCCTTCTTAAGCACACCAGGTCCAAGTCACATGATCCCTCACCCTTGACCTCACACATCCATGCAAGGAACCAAAACTTCCTATCTTACATAAGTCTGAGTGTGGGCCACTTTTGTGCCCTGAAGAGTCCATGTTTGGCTGTGCGCACAGTGGCAGAGCTGCAGGTGGCTCACTGGCGAGGACACACAAGCACAGCCATTGTTTGTGGCAGACTCCACAGAGGCTCACTGTTGGATGGGTTGCTCTCAGCTACACAGGACAAATGGCATGATCATCCCACATTAGGAGACCCCTCCTGGAGGTGGGTTATGAATGGGGACTGGCTTCTGGTGGGTTTTTGTTGAGTCAAGCTTTGGGTATTTGGGTACTGCTGCTAACCAAGAAATGTTGACGAGCGGCATGCCATCACCGTTCTTTGTCAGGCTACACGGGTAGGAGTCGATCCCACGCTTCGGAAAAGAAAAGGCCTGGCGAAAATATTATCTCCTAGTCTTTCTGTCTTGTCTTGAAGGTGCTTGACATCCTCCAGCACATCCAGACCCTCGACCCCGGGCAGCACGGGGCAGTGGGTTACCTAGTGCAGCACACACTAGAGCACATTGAGCGCAAGAAGGAGGAGGTGGGCGTAGAGGTGAAGCTGCGCTCTGAGGAGAAGCACAGAGATGTCTGCTACTCCATTGGGCTCGTTATGAAGCACAAGAGGTGAGTGCCTGCCCCCGGCTTCCGTAGCTGTCTGCACACTGCCAGGGCCACAGCCACGCCGAAGAGGGAAGAGGGTCCCAGAGGCATACCCTGGTGCCTCAGGTCGTTTGACTGAGCACCCCCCACAGGCCAGACAGCATGGCCGGTCTGCACCCCGCCTCCAACTGTGAGGTGTGATATCTTCCCTGGACGCTGACTGCTCCTAGCCCTAAGGGACTCTGGAGGATTGACCAAGCTAGAATCTCGCTGAGCTGTGGCCCCAGCCCCTCCTCCTTCTGCTGTCCCTTCTCCATCCCTGCCATCTCTGATCTGGGTTAGCAGGGCTTTTCTGAGCTATAGTTCTGCCCATGTCTGTTCACCAGGCAGAGTTTAACTTCAAAGTGCTGGCGTGGGTTCATGTCCCACAAGCAACCTACGAGCTGTGATTACTGTCCCCACAGCATGCCCCTGGTGTGCTTGTGAACACAGCAGCAGGTTGACACTTGGTGGTGTTTTTCCGTCACTGGCAAAGGTGGTTCTATCTGGCCACTCGGTCTTTCTTGCTGACGTGTGGCTCCTCCGCACCCTTCCATTGTCTTTGAGAGGGTAACCAGCAAACACCTTCCCTGTCAGAGGTCACGGTTTTCATTCACTTAGTGACTACTGTCTTAACTTGCTTACAGGCATGTGCAAACATGTAAGAGTGGAGAGAATGGCACGGGAGGCAGCTTGTGCTCCCAGTGTCCTGGCTTTAGTAGTGAACACCACAGCCTCCTCCCCTCTCAGCTCTGTGCTAGCAGGGCTAGTGTTGGGGCAGGGGGCTCCCCTGCCCACTCTTACCTACCCTCTTCTTACCAAAGGTAGCCTCTTGCTCTGCGCCAATGTTTCTCAGAGCTGGGCAGTGGTGGTGCACGCCTTTAATCCCAGCACTCGGGAGGCAGAGGCAGGCGGATCTCTGAGCTGAAGCCAGCCTGGTCTACATAATTACAGGACAGCCAGGGCTTTGTAGAGGGAAACTGTCTAGAAAAAAAAAAAAGCAAGATTATTTTCCAGACTGTGTTTTGCTGATGGTGAGAGTAGGGTTTGTAAAGAGGGACAGGGTGTCCTTAAAAGTGACTTCACCTGGGGTAAGAGCAGTAGGTAATGAACAAAGAGCGTGGGAGCACCCCGGCCTGGCTCTCCTGCCTCCTCCACAGCTCTGAGCTCCCGGGAGCTCACTTGCCATCTTACCTGCTCCATAGGTATGGCTACAACTGTGTGATCTACGGTTGGGACCCCACCTGCATGATGGGCCACGAGTGGATCCGCAACATGAATGTGCACAGTCTGCCTCATGGCCACCATCAGCCTTTCTACAACGTGCTGGTGGAGGATGGCTCCTGCAGATACGCAGCCCAAGGTAAGGTGTTTGCTGGCTCTCCACCTGTCCCTGGCTGGCCATGCTGTAGGCAGAGCTCACCAGTGTGTTCAGTGTGTTCAGGGGTAACAGCTGTCCGTAGCTAATCACACACAGGTACACCAACATGAGGTCCTTGCTCTAGCTCTCTTACTGTCCACACCAGCCAGCCGACTCCTGGTCCAGGCCTGGCTTCCCTGTCTCCCTGTCTCCAGGCCTGGCTTCTAGCAGCGCTGGCCTTAGTCGCCCTCATGTGGCCACAGGTGGAAACTGCAGTCCCCTGCACAATCTGTGTACTTGGTGACCTTTGGTAGGCGCTTGTGGCCATCACCACCTGACGGGCTAGGGCGGGGAGGTCCTGAGCTGGGAGTAGATGGGGTTGCAGAGACCAGCAGGGAGCACACTGGCTTATTAATGGGAGGGAGGGAGGGAAGGAACGTGGGTACTGATGTGGTGAACAGTGTGCTCTCATGGGTGCTAAGTCTGTTTGGGACCCAGGCATTTCATACATGCAGAGCCTGGAGCTTTGCAGGCCACCTCCACTTTACCTTGTCCATGAGGACATGAAGCCAGGAGCCTGGTGATGGGCTATGGCATGAACCATCAGGCTTGTTCTGCCCGTCCAGAGGTAAAAGTGCTAAGGTCTGGAGTGTCAGGGTCTCAGAAAACAGGAACGGTCCCCACATGAATGATGTGACCCATCAGAGGCCAGAAGGGTCAGTGCCGTATGTCTGCAGGCACCTCACCTCCATGGGTCCCTGGGGAACGTAAAGGGCCCACATGCTCCCCAGGTGCTCTGGAGGCTCCCGCAGGCCAGTCTTCGACTTTTGGAGCTGAATCCAGTGAAAATCAAAGTTCTTCATTTCTGAAAGTCACTATGCTTTTAAGAAAATGTCCTGGGGCTTTGCTATATGACAGGTGATGAAGGCGTTCTGTCATCATTCATGACTCTTGGTTGTAGCATACCAGGAGTAGCAGTTGTCTACCCTACAAGTGGGTGTAAACATCTTCAAACCAGGTACTGAAGTTTCTAGAAATGGTTCATGTAGTGTGTTTGCTTGATGCAGTCTGTAAAGTGAGCACTTAGCTTTAGTTGTTCTGAATGGTTCCTGCTGAAGCCTCATGCCCCTCACTGCCTGTGTGCAGACACATGGAGTAGCAGTCTGCAGTCACAGTATAACAAAAACCAAAAGTCTGTGGCCCAGTGACCCAGTGGCGTAGGAGTGGCTGCAATTGTGCTCGCTTTGGCTGGTTCCCCTTCCGCTGGCCACAGGACCATGGCTTCTCCTGAGTGCTGCTCTGTGATGCTGTGGGATGCAAGGCTGTCGGGGGCTCCTTCCCAGCCACACACAGTATCCACACGCCTCTCTGGGCCAGCTCCTGTGACCTTGTGAACTGTTTATTTGTGTCCTGGGCTCTCTGTGTGTCTCACACGCTCTTCTGGGACTGCTGCTCTACCCTGCCTGCTCCTGCAGACGCACCCCACATAGTGTCCCGTTTACCAGCAGTGGGTGCTTATCTAGGTCTGTTTCATCAGTGAATAGAGATGAAGGCTTTTTTGCTAGTGTTTGAAAGAGCATTGCAGGGTCCTGCCTCGTGGTGCACCAGGGCTGTGGCTGCATAGCAAATCACATGGCTAATAGCTCGTGTTTGATCAGCAGTCACATTGCCCAGTTGTCACCACAGGATTGGCCCTTTATAGCTTAACCAGCTAGTTCTGCTGTGGTTCACCCACTTTGCAAAGCCTGTCACTTGAGAATGACTTCACACTGTCTACCCTATTCTCCTGCTTCGGACTTGGGATTTTGTGAAGCTTCCAGGCCTTGGTTGCCTTGGCTGTCTGAGGGGCTCAGCTCACTGTCTCTTTACCTACTCTGTCTTTGGACAAACAGTGACATCTGAAGCCTGACTATTTGGCTGTCACTGCTGCACCACACTGTTTGTAGAGCACTGTGTTTCCCATGTTACCCCACCCAGAGAAACCAGGGTCCTGTCCCACCCTGGTGATGCAGAGTTCAACCAGAGGTAGCTCAGCTTCTGCAGTTAGCAGGGAGTCAGTGTGGTTGTACTGGGTCCTGTGAATGTTGCTCCGCAGAGAACTGAGACACTGCACTTTGTCCTAGCACTGGTTCCCCGGCTGACACAGGAGCATTGCAGCTTGGGCAGTGTCTGCTGCCCCTGCTCCCTGTTCAGTGCTTTTCCCTGCTGCCCTTCCTCCCTTTACTCTCCAGCCTCCATCTTCCTCCCGCGGCTCCCTCCCTACCACAGTCTTGATTCCTGTTCCAGTGTACTATGGTCACTGGGGACAGTTGGAAGCTCACAGCCCATAGTTAGCCATGGGACATACGCCTTGATGAGCTAGATTTGTAAATTTTTTTTTGGAAAGAAATATTGTTACTGTATGTGGGTGCCATGAGCAGGGGGTACACATGTTCCAGGGCACAAGTTGGAGGTCAGAGACAACATTATGGAGTTGGTTCTCTCCCACCTTTGTGCGTGTTCTGGGGATTGATCTTGGGTCCTCAGGTTTGCACAGCACAAGCTTTTACCACAGAGCCATCATCTGGAAGGTCTGAAATGCTACATTTTAAGTTATGTGTGTGTGGAGGGGTACAGTGTGAGGGCAATGCCTGCAGAGGACAGAGGCATTGGGCCCTCTGGACCTGGAGTGACGGGTGGTGAGCCACCCCATGTGGGTGCTGGAACCCATTGGGTCCCCTGGAGCAGATGCTCCTACCCGCTGGTCTGTCTCAGTGACCAACAAGCTTCATTTTAAAACTACTGCCTCAGGTTTCCCTTCATTTCTGGGTTTCCTTTTGTATTACTTGTTTTACTTCTTTAGATGTAATTGTCAGTGATTCTGGTTCCTTGGGTGGAGGCCATTAGTAATGCCACTGTAGCCGTCAGCCCTCCACAGGGCACTGAAGAGTGGCCGGCCGCTAAAGCACTTGCTTGTGTGGCATCTTGGCAGCGGCAGAATTCCTGAGTCTTGTGTGTGGCTCCCAGCTCCCACTAGGGGGAGCACGCTGCAGAACTTGGTTGGCTCCTGTCCCTTACTTTGAGGCCGCTGCTCAGGGGCAGTGTGCCAGCGGGGAACGCTCCTCTCAGAAGGCTGCGTGTGTTTTCTGTTATCAGATGGCTCTTGGTGGCTCTGGACATGGGCGCTCCAGCGGGCCCGTCTGTAGCTTGTGTCACACTCCTACACTGCCCCTCCCACAGTCCGCTCCTGCTGGCTCATGTGGTACTGGGTGAGGGTCCCCGCAGTGTAAAGTGATCGTTGGTCATATCAGGGGCCATTTTGCCTTCTCTTGTTTAGACTCTATTTGGTAAAATGGACAGTGTGCATGGAGACACGAGAAGACAGCTTGTGGGAGTCAGTTCTCTGCACCACGTGGGTCCCAGGTACCAAATGGGGGCCTTTGGGTTGGTGCCAAGTGCATTTACCCACCGAGTATTTCATTGGCCTGGCATTGTCTTTTAAGTGGTAAAACCCTCAGGGTTCACTCTTGTACCTGGTGGCTCCACCCCACAGCCCCTTGACTAGAGACACATCCACACTTAGTCCCCGTTGACACACAGTGGAGCAGTGTGCATCACTAGAATGCTGAGTAGCAGGTAAGCCTGATGCCAATAAATGCTTAGTGTGCATTTGATACAGATAGCAGCAGAAATGAATACCCAACTTCAGGGCGTGCAGAACATACCAAAGGTAAAAGGACACACTTCCTTGCTGTCCCCCAAAGAGGGAGGCACTGGGCCATGTGCCACAGAGGACTCAAGGTGGGGTTTCCAAGTATATTTCCATGGGGTTGAAGATGCTACAGATTTTAGATTAAATGAGCAAAGCTGTTTCTCTCTGAGAACTGCAGGTATGTGTGATTCTTAGAGTACATTATTTTCAAGGGTATCAGGTGGCATGTCCCCTCCAGAGGCACAGGCTCCTGCTTCTTCACTGTCTTCTCTCCTGCAAGAAGTTGCTTAGTCTCTGTGCCTGATGGTGCATAGCTGTTGTCCCTGCAGTTGGTAGGCAGGAAGAGCATTAATTTGAAGCCTACCTGAGCAGCTATGTCTCAAAGGAGACATAGAATCTGGCTGGGGGTGCAGCTTGAGTGCGGTATGCTCACCTGGCATGCACAGGACCCTGACTTCAGTCCTCAGGACCACCGAACAGGCCCCTTTATACCCTCTCTTGATCCACAGCAGGCCTGAGGGCCAGCAGGCCAGGGTACAAGTCAAGCTGGAGATGGCCCCAGGTAGCCCAGAACTTATACTGTTAGCTCCCACTGTTCTTGCCTGGGTTTCCCAAAGCAACCCCTTGTTAGAAGCCATATTCAGAAGCCTGCAGTAGCTACCCGGCTGTTTTCCCCACAAAACTGTACCCTTCCTCCAGGCATGCAGAGGCCAAGAACTCCCTGCATGAGCCACTGTTGAGCACCCAGAGAGAGTGTAGCTGTGGACAAGGCTGCACAGGTACAGGAGTTCTTGTGGACCAGAAGGGCCATGGACAAGCTAATTGCCTGTGGCAAGGCCTGTACCCTGTGGGTACTCAGCGGTATGTACCCCTGAACTCCCTACTACCACCATTGCGGCTCAAACTCTGACTACCAGAAATGTCCTCAGACTTGGCCACACATCCTTCTGGGGGTTAGAGTTCCCGTGGAACCCCACTACACTAAACAGAGGACCCTCAAAGCAGGGGGGCAGATGCCCACTGGAATTGGATTGGCTTTACTTCCCCGTCCTGACTGCAAGGTGACATGTGCCTTGCGAGCATGGGTCTTCCTTTCTTGGAGGTTCAAGACCGTTGTCCTTGGTGTTTTCTGTGGGCATGAGGTCTTGGCAGCTGGCCTGCTATGGTCTGGGCCCCAGGAAAACATGGCTAGGGCTACAAAGGCAGGTTCTGGTTGCTGGGCAGCTCAAGCAGTGGTATTGTGAGACAGTCAATGGGGATGTTTTATTTTACTTTTATATTTGTCAATCTGTCCCAGTTATGGCCTTTCAAAAGTGAAAAGACTGAATTGTGAGCAGGCGGGGTGGGCAGGCCACGCTTGCTGGTATGTAGGCAGCCGACGCTTGCTGGTATGTAGGCAGCCGACCCTCTCTGTGCGCATACACATTCCCCTCAGCTCTATACTTTCTGGGTCTGACCTGCCCAAAGCCCTCACACAGGCGCCTCCCTATCAGGGATCTCCCTGTGGGGTGGGTGGGGCCAGGACAAGGCAATGCTGTGAGGCCGCCTGGGGCTGGCCCAAAGGAAGCCCCAGTCTAGAATTGCCAGGTCTCCTGGTATTTTCTCGGGGAATACTTTCCCTGACCCAGTGCCCTCCCTCCTGGTCTACAGTCAGGCCCTACATCTACCTGCGTGTCTCAGTATGCTGGTGACTTCCCAACATTTTTCCTTCTCATGGGGACATGTTCCTAACCTGTTCTGAAGATGCAGGATGCAGCGCCAAACTAGTACATCCACAGTTTCCCAGACCCTTAAAGGGAAACACACAGTAGTTAGCCACAATGTCCGTCCACCTCTCACAGAGATGAACTCACTCCAGGGACAGTCCACTCTAAGAGAGCCTCTAGGTGTCCTGGGATGTCCTGTGTGCTGCTTGTGGCACGCCTTACCCAGTGGCCAGTGTCTGTACCCTGGCCTGGGAACAAGTTGTGGGTACTCTGCGTGGGCAGCTCTTCTCTTGGGAACTTTCACAGCATAGGGCTTTCTGAGCCACTGTCTTCTGTGCCTGGATCATGAAGAAGGGAGAGCCTTGGTCTTTTCAGTGAGACACCTGGAGGATCTGTTCCTCCACTGAAGGTATCTTTGTTCTGTCCCTTTCTCCTGTGGCAAAGTCAAGATCGGGGAGAAGGCAGCCAGGACTTCTAGGGGCTGAGCAGGGTGTGAGTGCGCCTGCATTGCTAGCTCACCCAGGAAGTACGAGCCCTAGATGAAGGGCTCCAGTGGAGAAGGGTGTGTGCAGGGGCTCCTCTCTGTGGACAGGCGTGTGTGACACGTTTGAGACTTACAACCAAACGGTAGGGTGGTTTCTGACACTTGGCTGCTGGCAGAATGTATAGGTGAGTGTCATCTGACCTGTACCCCAGCTGCTCTGCTTGCTAAGCCAGACGAGGGCACAGTGAGTGCCCTGAGGTGCCCCTGGGGTTCTTGGAGCCAAATGTCCCACTCAGAGGACAGGAAGAAGGGGGGGGGGACCTGTGCCACCATCCCTCCCTCCCAACAGCGGACACCTCTGCCTTTTCCTCTTGAATCTCTGTAATACAGAAACATCTCTGGAGGTAGCTTCTGCTCAGTTTCAAAAGCGCAGGAGGGTTTCCTCGCAGAGCTGCAGCAGGAGGGATGCTAATACCAGTGCCGTGCTCTTTGCCAACAGAGAACCTGGAGTACAACGTGGAGCCTCAGGAGATCTCTCACCCAGACGTGGGGCGCTACTTCTCAGAGTTCACGGGCACGCACTACATCCCAAATGCAGAGCTGCAGATCCGGTACCCTGAGGACCTGGAGTTTGTGTACGAGACGGTGCAGAACATTTACAGTGCAAAGGATGATGCGGCCGAGTAGACTCCAGGGACATCACACCTTTGCTGCTGCTGCTGCTGCTGCTACTGCCTTCTAGGGGAACAGGATTCCTGAAGGACGCGTGCTGGTCCCCTGGAGTTAGCACAGGACAGCCACTTCACCAGCAGCCTTGGCTGCCCCTCTCTAGATGGTGTGTGCTCCTCCGGCCACAGAGACAGCGCTGCTCTCCGCTACACTAGTGAATCAGTTGAAAGGCACCGTGTCCAGTGGCATGGCTTGTCTGCTTGTCCCGTGGTGACAGTGTGTGACATTCTGTCTTCATGAGGTTTCACTGTCCACACTCTGTCCTTTGATCCCTTCCCATCCCTGTCTCCATTCACCTTGTGTCAGCGTCTCTCCGGCTGGACAGCCGGTCCACATTTCCTGCTCTCTCTGGAACCTGGGCACCCTGAGTCAGGACCGCCTGCCCCTTTGCCTTGAGTTTGGTTGTATTCAGATGAAGGCATGCAGATGGGACTCAGAATGATTAGAATTAATTGTTGTGCTAATACATGAAACACACATGTAAGTGTTCCTTTTTCCCCCCCTTCACTTTAAATTGGGAGAAGGAACAGCAGCGTCTCCCTTTCCTCCCAGTGGGGTCTGTGCACATTTCTGCCCATCGTGAGCTTTCGTCTTACTCCGTAGGTTCCCCGAGCAGATGCACAGCAATGGCCTTTCCCAGTGATGGCCTCCACATTCATCAGCTGCTCCTGAAATGTGATGACTACTCTTTTCATTTAGGAATCTGCCCCAGGGTCCTGAGTGGATCGTGAGTCCGTCACAGGTCCGTCCCTAGTGAGGCCTGCAGACCGGATGCAAAGGGCTCTGAAAACTTGTAGCTCCTGGTCCCCAAAGACCAAGAGAATGGATTGTGTTCCGATCAGGAAAATGAACTAGAAGCCTAACCCCCCTTTCACCCCTTAGGGTCACATCAAGACCCTCATTTTGAGAGTGTAGGGCTTATGGAAAGAGGCGTCCAGTCTGAAGGCTCCAGGACACTGTCTCCAGGATGAGGTCTAGCCTTGGGTCACCCTGGCTTCTGCCTGATGCTTTCGGTGAGTGTGAAAGGACCGGCCTTTTAGCAGATCCTAGCAGGGGACTACCTGGTTCTCAAGCAAGCTGTCCTGTAGGTAATTACCCACTGGGCCGATAGCACTTGCTCCCTGAATTAAAATGCCGTTGCTCTAGTAAATGGGGCTTTAGGGGGCCGCCTGCCTGCCTCGCCTGCCTGCCTGCCTTCTGCATGTGTATTCTCACAGCGCTCTAGATGACTGTCTTGACTGCCCTGCAGCAGCCCCAGGAGGACAGGGGAGACCACCCATCAGGCAGTCTGTAGAAGGATAGGAAGCCTGGGGCTCTTACAGCCGATACGGCTCTTGTCCAGCGTCCCTGTATCACCAGTAAGAACTCAGGCGGGTTTGACCTCGCATTTGGAAGTTGGACTACTCAGAGCATCTGCCTGAGGTTGGAGGATTTTACTACTAATTTCAAGGTGAAAATCAACCCACACAGATTCAACCATTACTAAGCAGCCACGGAGCATGCTGGGAGTTCCCATTGTTGGTTTTCTGCTTTGATTTCCTTTTTTGTAGAGAAACATCAAAGCTGGGAAAGATGGTTTCCCTCCCTGACCTGACTGTAAATATGTACCTAGACTGTTTCTAAACGCGTTTCCTCACAAGGCTTCGTTTGGCTGAGGGAGCCTGTGTCACCCTTGTAAGTTGGTATTTGGGCACTTTATATTTTTCTAAAAATGTGTTTTGGATCCTGTACTCTAATAAATCATAAGTTTCTTTTTAAAATTTTTTCCAAAAGTTTCTCCATTTTCAAAAGCCCTGTTATAAAAAGCAGAACTTTCACAATGTTAAGATACTAAATATTTGGTTATAGCAACTTCTCTTCAAATGAATGCCAAGGGGTTTTTTTGTTTTTGGCTTTTTTTTGGGTGGGGGAGGTTGTTTGGTTGTTTGGTTGGTTTGGTTTTGGGTTTTTGGTTTTTTTTTTTTTTTTTTTTTTGGTTTCTTTTGTACAATTAATAAATGAGCTTACCAAGAGAAACCACACCAGTGGCCTGCCCACTTTCATTCAGTAGCAAGAGAAGAGAAAGCAGGGTCTCTCTCTTGAACAAAGTGGGGGGGGGGGAATAGCTGGCCCTAGCTTTTCTTTTACTGTCTGACACACATCTTAGTGAGTGGACTTTCTGGCTGGGAAAGGCTCAAGGTGTCTGGTAGTCAGAGGAGGGCTCCTTTTGTCTGTGAACCGAGGTTGGCAAGTGCAAGGAGTGAAAGCCAAGGCAGTGGTATTTATTGTCGTTGTAGACTTGGTAGCGGCATGCCACAGCACTCGCGGATGGCCTACTGTGAGGGGGGGTGTTCAGAGTAGGGGCCCCTCTACACTTGGAGCACTAGATGGAGAGGCCAGATGGGGACATGTCTTCCTCGGTGAGACATCTATACCATCCCAGGTCCAGTGTCTGCAGGCATACCCAGAAGTGACCTCAAGACACTTGATGTGTCCAAGGCTAGTCCATCTGTCACCCCAATTTGCCATGGCCTTCTTTACAAGCTTAGCACACCTTCATGGACTCAGTTACATGTGTCACACCAGCTGCTTCTGATCTTGTTCAGTGTTTCTGTCTCCCTAACCTTCTGCAGTACATGGAGCCCAGCCAGCAGCAGATCCCTTTCCTCTGGAGGCCATCTGTTTGCTTTAATCCCAACTGGAAGTGGAGAGAATTGGATGACCAAAGACCTCATTTAAAAGCACCTGTGGCTATTGTCATCCAGATGTAGCCCACACTATCTTTGTTTATCTGGCTTTGTTTGGATAGAAGGAAGGAATATGTATGGAGGCAGAATCCAGAGTTGGCCACTGAGCTCTTGATTGGAGGACTTTGATGGCTAATGAATGAAACAGTCCCCTGGCCACATGGCTGGCAAGCCCAGTCAACAAATGCCCTGGCTGCACTGGGTGGCTTCTCTTGTCTTTTGATTTGAAAGGAGTGAAGGTCGCTCTCCTCGAAGGCTACTTGGAGGCAGGCCACTACTGCAATCTGAGCTTGCTATGATAGGGTCCTGCTGTGTAAAACCTAGGCTGTTTATGTAGGTGGGTGGATGGGAAAACTATCCCTGAGCCCAGCCCTTCACAGCCATGCTGTGGAACACAACTACCTCACTGCCTGCTTCCCTGGCCTGTTTTGAGCATCTGGAATCCTGGAAGTCAAGAACGTTCCCTTCCATGGATTAATATTCTGTGCAATTACAGCATCGATGTGTGGCAGCCGAGTAGTGATGATTGTATCAGGTTAACACTGCTTCTGTAATAAATAGACGCCAAAACACTATAGAACTTAACTGCTCTGGGATTGCTGTGGGGGGTGCTGGTATCCGGAGGCCCAGGCTTACAGAAGTGGCTGCCAAGGGTCCCCTGGGGCTTCTCCCTATGTGGTCTGAAGGGGACAAGGGTAGAGGGACACATCTAGGAGTTCCCATGAATGGTCTGCCACTCATACCGCAGCCTGGTAGCTGTCGCAGGTCACCCCTGCTTGTCCTACAGCAGGGAAGCTAGCATTAAAGATGGCCCTCTGGGAAAGTGTCAGCAGCCCCCCAGGCTTGTGGGACACAACAAGCTGTGGGATCCAGAGTAGATGCTATGGGGTGTTATGAAGGGTCTCCTGGAGTGGCCTCTACTGGGCATCCATCACTAGCCAGGACCTTAGTCCTGGCTGGGCAGATAGCACAGCTGGTAAAGTGTTTGCCACGAAGGACTGAGGCCTGAGGAGCGTCCTCCTCAGCTCCTACACGGACAGCTAGTTGTGGTAGCATCTGTAATGTCGGTTCTTGGGAGGCAGAGGCTGCAGGATCCTGGAGGCAAAGGCCAGCTACTCTAGCTGATCTGGTGAGTTCTAGGCCTGTTTCAAAGGAGGTGGGCAGCCCAAGGTGGTCCTCTGGCCTCCACACAGGTATATACCAGCACATAAACATTTACTTAAAAAAAAAATAAGTGCATTGGTGTTTGCATGCATATATGTCAATATGAGTGTGTCAGATCCCGTTGTGAACTGCCATGTGGGTGCCTGGAATTGAACCTGAATCCTCTGGAAAAGCAGCCAGTGCTCTCAACCACTGAGCTGTCTCTCCAGTCCCTATATTTATTAAAAAAAAAAAAAAAAAAAAATCCTGAGTCAGGGCACTGTAACTCCAGAGGAGCCTGGGAGAATCTCCCTAGAGGGATTTAAAACCAGTGGGCACCATGGTCCTCATGTGTCCACACCCCAAGTCCTTCCTGGTCCCTGTGTCCCCATACAGTTCTCCACCAGCCATGGGGACCAGCAGCCTACAAATTACTGGCCAGGGCTCAAGCTCCCAAGTCCCCATTGGGTGAAACAGGGCCAGAAGCACTTCAGCCAAACGAAGGACAGAGAAGCCACCAGTCTTCGGGGCAGTGGAGACCTTACATAACCCAGCATTGCTCTTGGCCCCCGTCCCTGGTACCAGGTCCACCTAGAGGCCCTTTCTCAAGCCTGGTTACATCAGAAGGGAGTGTCCTGTCAGCCTGCTGCTAGCTCAGAGGCCAGGCCCGTTCTCAATCCTTTAATTGTGAACATGCTGTCACTCGAGTGACACTCTGACATCTCTAATTGGTCACCAAGTAACCTACATAAATGGTACATGGAGTTCTCTGGTATATACCATGCTTCCTTCATCTGTTCCTCTGTGGATGAACATCAAGCTGGTCTCCCATCTTAGCTATCCTAAATGCAGCAAAGCAAAACACACAAGACAGCACAGAGCGGTACATGACACTGTGCCACCACTTCAAGGTGACACCCCCTTCTCCCTCCTCAGTCCTGACTGCTACTCTGTTCCCGTGGATCGGTCTCCTGTGGGCACTTGTGTCCGTGGGATGTTGGCCATGAGGCCTTCTGTGTCTGGGTCTCTTTCACTCAATACCCTGTTGAGATCGCAGCTGGGAAGGAGTGCATCGATGACAGGGACACTGTCCTATTTGGCCCTTGGTGGACACTTACTCCCTCCCGCCTTGGCCATTGGGACCAGCTTGCCATGAGGTCCTGTGAAATTTCCACATTCTGGCAGACCCGTTATCGCTGTGACAGAAATGATTCTTGCCTAAAATCTCCGGCCCCAAGTTGCCTGTGGTTTTCTGTGGCCTGGTGACAACCACAGGACCAATGTGGTTGTTAGTGAAATGCAAAGAAAGGTAGACAGGCCAAGGCACAGCTGTGTATGCGCAATACTGTTTTACCTTTCCAGGAATCAGAAAGTGCCAACCCAAGATGCTCAGCGGCTGGCCTGTTGAGTCCTTGCTTTCTCCAGCTGGGACAGCTTAGTTGCAGGCTTTCCTCAGAGAACTGTCAGGACTCACTAAGATGCACCAGGTAAGAGCCATTTTCCAGGCATCGCCTCTGCTGGGAGCTGGGGTGGGCAAACTCTGCCAAGCAGAAAGCCTGGTTCCCTGGTTCCCAGGTGAGCATGGTAGGTTTGTGGGGTAGAGTATGGCAGTCCTAGACTGAGCCACATAAGCTAGGGCAGTGCTGCACATGGGTAATAGAGATAAACACATGGTTCCCGGGTGAGGACACATGGGCAACCACCGCGCAGTTCACTGTCACAGTGAGAGACTCCCACCGGCCCCATCCGGGCATGAGTCACTCCAGTGTGGCCTCCTGGCAAACCAAGGCTAACAGCATCAACACACACCCCCGCACCCCCATAGACATCGTTAAGCCCCAGAGCCAAGTGACCTGCCAGGAGGAGGGCCACTGAGCTGGGAACGCAGCCAGGAGCCAGCCAGTGCATAAGATGAAGCAGGCACCCTGCCAGCTGGTCGCATGGCCAGGGCCCTGCTGTTCCCTCTGGGGAACCAAGTTCCTCTGTGGGGATGAGGGTGTGGGGGCGAGGTAAGTTTCCACAGTTTCCCAGGGACTCTGGAGAGGGCAAGGCTAGGTGTAAGCGTGACCGTTTCTCCTGTGGTCACACAGCACAGATAAAAGGCGTGGATACAGGCGCCTGCCCACCTTCTCATGGACAGTGTCCCTCTTCTCCTCTGAGGCCTCAAGGATGACACTGCTGCCATTTTAAAGGGAAATACTGCCACATCTCCAAGGCCCAGGCACAGTGCTTGTCCCTGAGGCCAGTGTTGCCACTTGGGTTTGAATCAGGGACCCACCAGGGTCTAAGGAAGCCTAGTCAGATGTAAACTCAGAAGTTCTGTTTTAGAGCTGTGAACATGTCCTCTACTCAACGGAATGAGTGACGTGAAGAGACAGCGGCTCTCTTCCCACCCTGAAACCAGGCCATGGAAACCCTTCATTGTTGCCATGGCATCACAGTCCTGGAGGACGATGGCCCCAGGGAGGGCCAGGAGGCCTTGGGGTGGACACTGAGCTGGGCCAGAGCTATAGGCTGGTGCTGCCTGTAGCAGGTGGGGCCTGGTGGTTCATGCTTGCCACTCCAGTACTTGGGAGACTGAGGCAGGAAGATTATTGCAAGTTCGGTTAGGCCGTGGTAGCTCACGCCTTTAATCCCAGCACTTAGGAGGCATAGGCAAGCAGATCTCTGTGAATTCGAAGCCATCTTTGTTTCAAATAAACAAACAAAAAATTGCAAGTTCAGGCCAGCCTGACCACATAGAGATACTAAATTTAAAAAAAAAAAAAAATACCAAAATTTAAAATGTAATATTCTGGGCTGGGCACATCCTGGTGGTAAAGTCATGTCACGCCCAGCCCAAGTCAGACCCAAGTTCAACCACCAGCATAAGAAATTAAATAAAGGTATTC